AAAGCAAAGCAAAATCAAAACAAAATATAAACAAAATTTAAAGTTTTAATAGTATTTATGCGTTAGACAGCTCAGCGAGCGGCAGCTAGAAAGGATATTTCAACAAAATGAATTTCCAGCAGCGCCGCAAAGTATGCAACGGAAAATGAAAAACTGAATTTGGGTTTGACCATAGTCAAAGATACTTCAATATGTTTCAGGGACAATCGATGTTAGTTGGCGGACTTAATGCGGTTTACTTGCGCCGAATCGAATGGTCAAATAATCAACATTTGCTTTTGGTTTATACAGAGCATATATACTAGATATAAACGGATATATATATATATATATATGTACATATAGCATGTACAATGTGAGTATATTTATTTGTGTTTAGAGTGCCAAAGCACTTGTGTATTTGTATTGCCTTTGACCGCACACTCACACACACACACACACACCAGCACACACTTGAAATGTTGTCCCATTTATTGTTATTCTGCTTGTTGTTCGTGTGTTTTTCTTTTTCTCTTCATTTTTTTTCCACTCGTTTGTCAAGCACTTTTCGATTTGCCATTCAATTTGTGAGCGTGTGTGTGTGTGTGTGTGTGTGTTTGCACATTTCACATTTTCCAATTTTTGTTTTTTAAACCAAAAACTAAACAAGCTGAAAGTCAAGTCTCTCACACACTCACTCACACACACACACACACCCACCTTGGCGGCTAGATTCGACTAGCTCTATGTTTTGGGTATTCGAAAGCCGTTCATTGGCCGCTCAACGTTCGATTCTGACGACCTGCGACGCTCTGTTGATGACGATGATGGCGATGATGATGTTCGTCGTTTGCTTAATAATGACGCACTTTTGGCTCATGAATTTTTTATGCGCTTTTGTCTGCCGCACGCGGCCATTTGTGGCAGTCGACTGACTAGCCCAACGGAACACCTTTTGCCAGTTGGTCCTCCTGTCGTGTCCTGTGCGAGGACATTTTCGCCAACGACCAACAATTTCCCAGTATACGAGCCGCGCTCTGTGCGCCGGCGCACTCTCAGCAGCAACTGAATCTGGCTGGCGGTGAGTGGGTGGTTGGGTGGTTGGGTGGCTGGTGTCAAGCCTGGAAGGCAAAATTATCAGACGCAGCAGACGGATGTGCCAAGCATTTTGCCTCAAAATATAAGTCATTCAGTTATTGTAATTACAGTGGCATAAAGCGCAGGAAGACGCAGCTTAAGGCACATCACAACACACACACACACTAGCACACACATAGAGTTAGCTATTTTGTAGGACAGTGTACGCTAATGGGCAATTACGAGTGTAAAATCTGATGCTTTATAAACTTTGACGCCGTGTCAGCTGCTAATAAGCATTGCGAATGCCATAAAAGCCGCATGGACGTCCAGTCACTAGGATATTCAGGACTTGAAAACATCTGAGCGGTTATGTGGCTTACCCACATGCCGCAGCCCGCACAACTTGCAACTTTTCCAATTAGCGAAAAAAAGGAAGCAAGAATATACAAACATATATATATCTATATCTCTGTATATATGCATGTGTATATATCTATCTAAAGGAAAACAGCCGTTCGAGCCATCTCGAGTCGAAGTTGGCATTGGGCTTTGCTCGTTCGCTGCTTGGCTCTTGGTCTTTTGGTCTTTTGGTCTTTTGGTCTTTTGGGGCTTCTTGGCCACAGCAAATGTTGCGTAAAACAACTTGGCGATACGGGCTGCTGCTTCTGGCCCCCTTTTTCCACCAGCCTCCCCTCCCTCCCACCCGCCATCACTCGCCCCACTTAGCCACTCGCTTGCAATTGAACAAAAGAGCAATCGGGAATTATGAGTGGCGCAAACTTTTTAAACAACAATAACAAAGAAACGAACAAGAACGAAAAATGCCAAAATAAAAATCCATAAATACACACACACACACACACATACACTTTCAATATGCGTGTGTGTGTAGGGTATATGCAGTTACTTGAGCACAAATTGATAGAGTGCAAAGCAATGTGCAACAAGATTCAATGCGGATGAACTTTTCTTTTCAATGTAAATCTCATTCACTTTGTGTGTGTGTTCGTGTGTGTGAGTGTGTGTGTAGCATAAATTTACGATTATTTATTAAAACATTCTGGCAGAAACTTTTTCTGCCTCCAGATTTTTCACTTTCTCAATTGCTGAATTGTTATATTCCACTTTCTTGAGCATTCATTGCTTTACAACTTTTTGATGACAGTTTTATTAGCCAGTTTTTCCTGTTAGCACCAACAAAAAATTTGTATATGTATAAGTAGAGAGGAATACATTTCTTTGCATATTGCCGGCGGGTGTAACTTACGGAATTATGATCTATTTTTTATAGAACCTAAGTGGCTTGATTACCAAGCATGAGCTGCTCTTGGCTTCGGGCTCTTGGCTCTTGGGCATCTCCACTTTTCACTCTCCTCCCTCTCTCTGTTCTGCTCTCTCCTATGGGGCGGTATGGGGGAGCTATGCTTTTAAGCTTGAATTATTTTTTCGTGGCATTTATTGTTTCACTTTTCGAGCATCTTCCACTAATTGGATGAATGTGTCGGCTGCCCGGACAGCTCGGCTAATGAGGATCTTGGGCTGAAGTCTAGACGAGACAGTGAATCGTGAATTGTGAGCGAAACAAATCTATTTACAAAGGGGCATGCATAATTAATTTTGATACATAATTATATTGCTGAAATTGAATAACTTAATCTTTAGCCAAGGAACCGAGCCCGCTGTACCCTGCAATTAGTCATGGCGTGCTCATTTTTGTACCCTGTTTGATTTGTGTCAGTGATTTCCCTGTGCGTATCTATGTATGTATAATTGTATGTGTTTCGCAGAGCACTCTTCTATGCGATTTTCATGTAATCCTATTATTATTATAGCATTATATTCATTTTTATTATTATTGCTTACAATCTCTCTCTCTCTCTCTTCATATCTGTCTACCTCACCCATTAATTATATATGTTTCCATCTCTGTCTTTCTAAAGTAATATTTCTCGCTCTTTATAATATCATTTTCCCTTTAGCCCACAGTCTCTCTATGATTCTATTTCTTTCTCTCTACCACCACCATAGTATTAAAGAATTCTATGCCTATTTTTTCCTTCTCTCTCCCTGTGACGATTTTGCTTCTCGACTTGTTCTCTCAATTGTAAAACTCTTTACATATTTTTAGTCATCTCTATTGATCTCAATGTTTATACATTATCTCTAAAATTCATTATCTCGCTCTGTCATTCTCCCACCCTCTCCCTCCGATGTTTTGTGTACTTTCGTCTCTCTCTTTGCCATTCTCTCTCTCACAATCTATCCTTCTAACTCTCACTCGATCTATCACTCTGGTTCTCTCTGGCTCACTCTTTCCCACTCATTTCCTGCATCTCTCCCCCGTTTTTGTAATTTTTCCATTGCTCATTATCTACCTTTTGCAATTCCTCTATCCTTGTAGCTTTCATTAAACTTTAACGAATCGCATAGAAAGGCGGCAGCTAGCATATTTCTATGAATACTAATTATGTTGTGAATAATGAGCAGAAATTCTTGTTGCATATTACCAACACTCCCAACGATCCGCGGCGTTGCCAGATCGCGTTGTTCGCATTAAACAAACACTCGCGAAAAAAAAAACATTTGAATTACAAATGAAGCCAAGCATAAAGCCAAACCAATTTGCGAGTGCCCACACAATTTATTTTAACAATTTTTGTTTTCAAGGGATTTGCGCTGGGCAATTTACGCAATGCCAGTCGAGGGGCGTGGCAGAGGCGAGGGGGATTTAGTGTTGGGATATGCGGGCCAGCGCGTTTTTAAGGGCAAGTAATTTGCCACTCGTCCATTTTAAATTACATTAGTTAAGCGAAAGGACGACGCTGGTCAAATGCATATTTTTTCTTTCAATTACTTACGACAAGCTAAAAGAAGCGAAGAAGCGGGACGAGTGAGTGTGAGAGAGGGATGGGTAGGGGTAGGGGTAGAGGCAGGGGTAGGGGATTTGGGATCAAGGCGAAGCCAACTAACTGCCTTGCAGTGTTTGCTTAATCAAATTTACATATAAATTGCAGGCAAAACCAAACTTAAAGTCCAAAGTTGATTTCAATTATTTGCGGAAAGCTGATGAAGTTTTCCATAAAACAGTGCAGAGCTCCAGCCATATCCAGTGCCACATTAGCCGCATCCTGCTGCCAGCACGTATTTAGGTTGTCAAAATGTCGACTTGTTTATCTTTAAGACAAGTTGGCAGTCTCCACTCGAGTGTGCCAGCCGCTAAGATACGCTTTGATTGCCTTCAAAGCAACGCAAAATCTCCTATGCTTCAATAGCTCTCGACCAGAGATTTTCAAAGGCGAACCGAGTTTATTTATAGGTGAAATAAAAGCAATTTTCCAATGATAAGCCACAAACTACTTAGCAATATTTTTGATTACGAACATGAAATGAAAACTGAAAGCTTCATAATGAGCTTCAATTTGTCGAATTTCGAATAAGTGTGGGGATATTCATGGCAATTCTCGAGGGAATTTCGCTCGAACTGTTGATGGAAGATGTGATAGACGCTCTGAATATATTTGATTTTTTTGTATTTTGCATTTAAAATTTTATTTTTTATATTTTATTTTCTTATATATATATACAT